GTGATTTGACCACTCTGTGCCTCGGTTGTCTTGCTTTGTTGTGTTCGTTACTGTCTATAAAACAGAAGAAACAGCGGCCCCTGCTTCATTGGGCTGCTTGAGGTTTAAAAGAGGCAATATCTGTAAGGAGCTTAACACCCTACCTGGCACCGTGAGTGCTAGGTGCCTATTAGCGTTTATGAATAGGAATATGATGACAGAGACACTTCTCTAGCCATACATACTAATAACGGGAAAGATGCTTTTAAAGTGCGTTAACTAACACTTACTGAGCACCTAATTACCTGTTATTAGCACTTTACTGGTATCCAGTCATCTAATTCTGCTCACAGCATTTTACACATGGAGACACAGCAGAGAAGTCAAGCCACTTGTGCAGCGGTCCCCTGAGAATAAGATGCAGAACTGGGAAGGGCCAACATGGTTTTGCCCTGGCTCCCAGCCTGCACCCAGAGTCCTGGTGTCATGTGGAAGACACGTGATGCTGCAAAGGATGTTCCACCGGTGCCCATGAGCCACTGAGACTGCCCCTCCCCACAATTCCTAGGGTGGTGCTCTGGAGCGGGGTGACTGGGACGCAGGGAGGAGAGGAAAGTCGCCGCCGCCAATCGAGTTGTTCAGAAGCCCCTTGAATGTAAATGGCATGAGCTGGTATAACTCTGTAAGAGCCCAGCTTTGGCGTTTTGTTTGTGATTTTGTTTTTCTCTCCCTTTTCTCCCACACAATGCCCAGCACACCAGCCACACCGGGCAACTTGGCTTGTCCACTGCCTCTAAATGGCTGGACATACCGCAAACTGTCACCAATGGTTAAAGTAGGATTTCCCAGAGGTTCCAGAACTCGTTCAAAATTCAAAACCTTGGACTCTTGCAAAAAAGAAACGCAGCCCATGTTCTCTTAAACACATGTATTGTGGGACTTGGCTCTGGGCTGGCCTTCCTCTTTTGGTTTTAAAGGTGTGAGCCAACAGCAGTCTTCTCTGCTTTAAACAGATCTCATTGGCTGCTTCCACACAGCTGGGCCCCCACCACACATACAACCCCTGTGTACTGGCCAGAACTTGACACACGCTAGAGTCATTTGAATTAAGAAAATGTCTCCACAGATTGACCTGGGAACAAGCATGTGGCACATTTCTTCATTAATGACGAATGTAGGAGGGCCCAGCTTACAACTGACCACCCCTGGACAGATGGTCCTGGGTTCTAGACGAAAGCAAGCTGAGCAAGCCAATAGGTAGCACCTCTCAACGGTCTTTGCATCAGTACCTACCTTGAGTTCCTGAACTGACTTCCTTAGAGGATATGCTGGAAGACGAAATAAACCCTTTCCTCTACAAGTTGCTTTTGGTCATGATGCTTCAGCACAGCAATAGAGACCCTGATGAAGACATCAGGGTTATAAGTTATGATGGTGCATCTGCCACACAGACCTGACTAGACTCCACCATAGTGCATCCTCTAGTCCAGTTGGAAATGAGACCTGGAACCCCTTTCCCATATGTGTTGAAAACCTTCAAGCTGGTGCAACAGAAAAAAGATTAAGCCACGTGCAGGAAATGTCCAAGCAAAGGTACAGGACACAGGTGCCTTAACTGGCTTTCTATTGGGAAGGAAAGGGTTTATTTGTTTTATAGTTTCACATCATAGTTCATCAATGAGGGAAGCCAAGGCAGGAACTCAAGCAGGGCAGGAACCCGGAAGCAGGAGCTGAAGAAAAGGCCGTAGAGGAACACTGTTTACCAGCTTGTTCCTTGTGGTTTGCTCAGCCTGCTTTCTTATACATCCCAGGACCACCTGCCCAGGGGTGGCACCAACGATGTGAGACGATCCCTTCCACATCAACCATTAATAAAGAACCCCCCCCCCAGACTTGCCTGTAAGCAATATGATGGAAGCATTTTCTCAAGATTCCCTTTTCCCAAACATATCTGGGTTTATGCCAGGTTGAAGAAAAGCAACCCACACAACAGGTCACATGACAGGAAGTCAGCCCCATGAGTACACACAGGGTCTCCTGCAGAGCCCATTATCTAGTAGCTATCCAGTCAATACACTGAATGCAGAGCCTAGAACCTGTTGATTCTAATCTACAGATGAATCCAGGGCCTAGTCAGTGGTCACTCAGTCCACAGAATGCATATCTCACCATCACCTTACCCTCTGAATGTGTGGTTTGGGCACAGGAACCTGAATGCTATACCATTTGTGAGGACTTATAAGCAAGAGGCGTTACCCCTAGTCCGTGCTACACAGCTCGCCCCCACTAGAGCGCTAGAGGGTAGGATGCGCTGTTGTCACAGAGGAGGCAAGTGAGGCAGAGCTGCACCGTGCTAAAGGTCACAGGGCTGGCAGGATTTCACCTCCGGAGACCTGTGCACAGAGCCTGCTACTGAGTTAGGGTGGGATGTCCTCAGGGAATCCGACTGCCCCTCTGAGGCCATGACCCATTCTTGCTCTGTGTAGCCTCCTCATCCTCTACCCACCCCCAAGAGGAACAATCCTTCAACAGAAACGTCTAAGCCCATTGCACCACCAGAACAGTTTATGGACCAGGTGGGAAGCCTGGCTTTGGACAGAAAGACAGCAGTGATGTGTCCTTCTTCATCCACATTCCAAGTCTGGATGGAGGGACAGATAGCAAGAGGTGAGGCATGTGCCCTGGGGCAACCTGCAAAGCTCACTCAGTGGCATGGCCACTCAGAGCAGATCTCAGATGCCGAGGCAGCCCCCACCACGCCCACTGAACCCCTTCAGTTACTGGATTATTGTGCTAGAGAAGAGGGTGAGATACTCGAGGCCCAAGACAGGAT